TGTGCGTGTGTGTGTGTGTGTGTGTGTGTGAAGGTCAGAGGACAGCCTCAGTCACCAGTCCTCAACCTCCACCTTGTGTGAGGCAGCCTCTTGCTCAGCACTGAGGGACTCCAGGTGAGCAGAATTTCCCTGTCTCTGCTGCTTAACTCCCCTTGGGAGCACTGACTCAGAGGCCGTTCTCCTGTGTCCAGCTTTATGTGGACACTGGGGACTTAATCTTAGGTCATCAGGCTTCACAAGTACTTTACCCACTAAGCCGTCCCTCCAGCTCAATTTTCTCCATTTTTAAAATTTATTTTTTATTTTTATTTTCAAGACAGAGTTTCTTTGTGTAACAGCCCTGACTGTCCTGGAACTCACTCTGTAGACCAGGCTGGCCTCAAACTCACAAGAGATCCTCCTGCCTCTGCCTCCCGAGTGCTGGGATTAAATGCGTGGTCTGTCCAGCCTTCTCCATTGTTCTTGTGTCCACTATATCATTAATTTCTTCCCTAGTCTTTATTAGTTCCTTCCATCTGCTTGTTTTAGGCTTGGTTTGCTTTCCTTATCATAGTATCTTGTTAGAAGGTTAAAATCTTGATGAATAATGCTTTTCTCTTAATGTACACATTTCTAAAAACATCTTTTATCTTAAGTTCCAATTTATCAGCATTCCTAAGTTATAGCACAATGTGTCTTCAATATCATTCATCTCAAATCTAATATCCCATTTAATTTTTTCTTTGAGCATGTATTTTTCTCCTAAGGAGCATCATTTTAGCATTGTGTTTAAGAAATCATCACCAAACTCAAAATCACCTAGGTTTTCTTTCAGAAATGTATGCTCTTGCATTTAACAGTTAGGCCTGTGATTCATTTAAAGTTATTTTTTCCTGAAAAGTATGAAGCCTGAGCTTAGATGCATTCAAAATTTTTTATTTATTTAAAATATTTATTTTAATTATGTGTTTGCAGTATCCAAGGAGACCAGGAGAGGGCATCAGATACTGCAGAGCTGGAGTTAAAGGAGGTTGTGAGCCACCTGATGTGGGTGCTGGTAAGAGGAATCCAGATCCTCTGCAGGAGCAATAAGCGCTCATAACTGCTGAGTCGTCTCCCCAGGCTGTAGATATTTTTTTCTTTTGTGCATGATTCTCCAGCTGTTTCAGCAATGTTTGTTGGAAAGTCTCCTCTTCTGCCTTTGCTTTCTGTACTTGTTGGCTACAATTTCTTTTACTACCTTTCAGGAATTCTTCTAGAAGGCATGCACATTTTAACCTACAGCACCAACTTTCGATTCCTGTGAATTTCATTCTAGGGAGGTGTAGGAGCATTGCTGTCCATTCTACTCACAAAGCGATCAAACATAACAGCATGTGCTGTAAGTCCTACTTTTCATGCTACTGTATCTTTTAAGAAAGACCATAAATGCTAGGCATGGAGGCACACATCTTTAATCCAAGCATTTGGGAGGAAGAGACAAGCATATCTCTGAATTGGAGGCCAGCCTGATCTATATAGCAAGTTCCAGGACAGCCAGGGCTACAAAGAGAAACAACGTCTCAAAAATCCCACCAACCATTGACAACTATATATATATATATATATAGAGAGAGAGAGAGAGAGAGAGCTTGCTGGTAAATATGTTATAGAGCTATATTGAAGACTTTGCTAAATTTTATATCTGTTGGCACCTCAGGCAGTTTCTGCCTTCTTCTCTACTCTACCCTCCTCCCCAGTGTATGAGCCATTTATCTACCTGTCTGTCTGTCTATCATCTATCTATCTATCTATCTATCTATCTATCTATCTATCTATCTATCTATCTATCTATCTATCGAACCAACCTTTTTAGATAACATGTTATAGAGATATTACTAGAATTGCCAGTGTCTGAACCTCAGCCCCTACCAAACCAGGGAAGGCAATCTAGCCTCACTAGGCCAATTAGCCAGATGAGAAACACCAAAAAGCAAAGAGGTTTACCCAATGTGTCCACATTTCAAAGAGGGACAAATAAAAGGTTCAGTGACCCTCCCCTCACCATCCACTCAAGTCTATCTTCTAAATTTTGACAAGCAGTTTAAGTTTAAGGAGAGGTAGGCATAGCTAAGTAGTCCAAATCAAGGTGTGGTCAAGGATTGACTGGTCCTTCCTACCACCACTACCATCCTTCTCCTTTTGGCTCTGATCTTCCCACCACT